TTAATCGACTAAGTACCTACATATCGAGCACCAAGTACCTAGGTAGGTAAATCTTTTGAAACGCAGGTAACATTTAGACATTTTGTAGTCTAGAAATATCCACAAAAACTACGATTCTTTATGAAATTGTCACTTATTTACGAAAAAATCTAACGGTTAAAATTAAACAAAATTATAATGGTTACTTTATCTATAAATCTAGCCTAGTGGACACGCGACATTGAACATGGAAATTATAGAGAAATAAAATATATGATTGCTACTTGGTTACATAAAATTGGTCCAAAAGTTTATTACGTTTGTTAAATTCAAATATACCGTAGCTGGAGGACACAAGGTTTACAATGAAAACGAAAGGATATAACGCCTGATGACATAAACAGTGACTACATTATTTTGATGGACAAGGATCGCAATCCTGTCACTTAGAGCGAAGTTTCAAGATATTATTAGGTAACACCACTCTTAAGGTGGTTTTCCACCGGCGAGGCGAGATGAGGAGAGACAAGAATTAATATCTCGCCGGCCTGTTTTCACTAAAAATCGTTAATTTAATTAAATTAATAATATTACTCGCACTGTGATTATGGATAGTCAAGATTCAGTGCTGATCAGCGATAAATACGCGGCTGAAGTGAAGAAGAATCAGATGAAATCATCTATTCTTTTTTAAATCTCAAATCGTACATACCCCTCAATCTCGCGCGAGCACGCGCAAGTAATCGTGTTGCCGTTGCAGAGTATAATACTCTACGTAGGCAGCAATACGGTTCAATGTTACATCAACAAATATTTCAATTCTCGCCTCACCCATCCTCCTCAGTCCAGACTATTTCCATCGAAGATGGGCTAGGAGACATTGAAATTTTCGCATACAAATTTCAATACTCGTCTCGCCTCGTCGGTGGAAAACCACCTTTAAGCATGCGGAATCGGCCTACCCGCACTGTTTCTTCTTCATCTGTTTTGCGAGCAATGTGCTCCGACCATTGCTGCTTATATTTGACAATTCTTTGGGCTATGTCGGTTTATCATTATCATATCATATTAACCGGGAGATGTCCACTGCTGAAAATAGGCCTCCCCCAAAGATTGCCATACTAGCCGGTCGGACGCGACGTGCACCCATCGGTTACCTTTCTGCTTCAACGGCCGTCAGTTTCAAAAGCTCTCTGCCACTTCAAAATAATTCTACTAATTCTACGGATCTCTTCATTTCTAATTCGATCACGTAGAAAAATGCCTAGCATTGTTCGCTTCATAGCTCGTTGAGTGGCTGAACTTTCTTATGAGGCCCATAGTAAGTGATAAGTGACCATGTCTCAGAGCCGTAGGTCATCGCTATGTGTTGTTTAATCTCAGAAAAACACATCTTTAACTGACCTTGATATGAGGCCAATAGAGAGCCAAGACGTCATAGTGCCGTAAGCTGGCAACACAAAGTAGACAAAGACTTTCACCTTGTACTTGCTATGATTAATAGAATAAGGCTGTAATTTGAATACCATTCGAGTACTAAAATTATTCTTCTTATTTCTTTTCTGCGATTATTCGCCGCCACAAATGTACATTTAAATGAGGTCTGCAAAAGAGATGTTTCTGTGTGACGTCATTTCGATTCTGCCTGAGCGGAATATTAAATTGCGAAATCTTTCCAAAACATGTTAATATTGATAAACGTATTCCTCATGCTCTATTTTCAGCCATTCGTTTTGCAGCGGCCATTTTTGAATATTTTTTAAAATTTTACTAATACGAAACTCATCAATCCTGATTGATTAACACTGACCGCTACCCGAGTGGTTAGTTCCTTGACGTTGATTGATTTGATTTCGTTGGTTCGTGAAATTTCAAAAAATATTGGTAAACTCGCATTAACAAAACTAAGTGATCATATGAATAACAACAGTAGGTATACAATAGTTAAAGATCATGTTACATTGTTCTTTTGTTAGTTTAGCGGAAAAACATTGACAAATATTTAAATACCTAAGATACTTAAACTTGAAAACATCGTGTGGCAGCCGCTCGTTACGTCTTACTTCATTAATTGTTACTATTGCAAAAAAGGCGCGCGCATGTCACGTAGCCATGGGCGATAGTTACTAAAAACAATCGAATTATTCGATTCGATAAACATAATCGAAATAATTCGATGGTTGATATCAATTAGTTACTAACTACACTTCACTTTTTGGTTGTTGATCAAATATCGCAAAAGTAATAGGATTGATTGTTAGATATTAAATTAGTTACAGGATCGATTGGTACTAAATAGGTAATAGGATCGTTTTTTCTTTGATTCCGTTCCATAGTATAGAGGACCTCTTTTTAGACACCGGAAATTTAATTAGTAATAACTATATTCGATTATTTTTCTATAAAGACGATTAAATTGAAAATCGAATATAGGTGCAACTATCGATTTATTCGATGTTTTATTTAGTAACAATCGGCCATCGCTAATGTCATGACAGTGGCGCTGCAGCGCTTCTTTAGCCCTTAAAATAAAAATAAAACCCTATTTACTTCACATATTTTTTTCTACCCTTTTCGTGGAAACCCGGGCAGGTATTATTTCCATTAACAAAGCATCAGTCACTCGCAATCAACGATATCCATCCACAAATTTTAAAACCTATATTTTACAAGTCTCATACGATTCTAGCTACGGCCATGGCGAGCAAACTGATGCCAGCCTTCAGCTCCACAGAGGGCGCTACGTGGGGTGCTGATGAGTTGCCCGAGAGGATGAGGGCTCGCAGTCTCTGCCTCTCCTGGTACCTTGTGTCTTCTCCGGGAGGGTCGAGACATTCGAATTCGCAGCAACTCTCGCCTTTGCGGAAATTCTTGCAGAACTGCCGGAAAAGAATTATTTTAAGCATTCAATAAAAGCTATAGTCTTTGTTTTTTGAAGACGGAGTAAAATGACAGTTTATTGCGCAAAAGTGTTGCTCGCTTGAGAGCAGCCAGTGATTGCAAACGATAAACATTCTATCGACTATCGACTGAATATTGGCCACGCTTATAGAATGAATAGCCGAACTTGTTTCATTTGAATCATCATCGACCCATTATTCATCATACATACATACACTGCATTTAGGACTATGTTTATGAAAAATCAAAGAGGAGACATATTTTAAAGTTTTTTATTTTAGTTCAATATAGACAATCAAATCCGCTTATTTTTTGTTAAAATGTATGTAATAAAAATTGACCTCGATACTAGTAGGCTAACTGTCGCAATAAGAATAAAGAAGGCAATAACGCAATTGTTAATCATTGGAATATCGGTACATTCACAATTCAGCCATTTTCGGCAAAGATTTACCTTCTTTTACAATCTATCGATAAAACTATCGACAACAACTACATAACTATTTAAAATTTTATGAAAACTGGAAACCCTGCATTTGTAATTTTACTCTATCTTCAAAAAAGACAGACTATAATAATATAGTAGTGTGAGGGTGCTGCTGGTGCTGGTGGAGTTCTGTTGATTATAATGTTGTCGGGAGAGTAGTAGTCTCCGCAGCCAGCGCGCCTCCATAATCTTGCTTAGTAGTTTGACGTTCAGAATTCAAAAGAGGTAAGAAACTTGTGGTAATAAATCCAGTTTTATAAATATTTATGTTCTTTAAAATGTTTATCGTACAAGAGATTTTTGGTAACTGGTAAACGGCTCAAAAAAATAAGAAGAGAAGACGTGTTCGCTGCCGCGATCGAGCAGGGAGTGGCGATGGAACGAACTAAATCAGAATGTGAGGAAATGAATAATAATATAATAATAATAATAATAACGCACACACCCAACATAGCCCCGCACTAGGGAAACCCTGTGTCGCGGGTGCCATGGACACACACATAGACAACCACAAATTACACCCAAACTCACGAGAGAAATAAATGTAGGTCACACAAATATTTCTCCCGGCCCGGGAATCGAACCTGGGACCTGCGTGGCAGTTCGGTATAGTAACCGTTCGGCCACGGAGGCAGTTAAAAAACAATTGGAACAATTCAAAATGGAACAATTCAAAATTTAAATTTAAATACGAGTGGCCAGGAACCGGAGAAAGGCGATAAAAAGATGTAAGGAGGTCACACCGTCACAGTAGGTATATTAAAAAAATGCAAACTTTTTAACATTTATTTCATCTATTATTACTGGTACACACATGAACAAACATAAAGAAAAATTCTCTCGATCAGACTGGACTCGAAACAGTGTCTGTTGCCTCATTGAGGTTACTAATGCGTGGTTTAAAGATAATTTTTTTTATCGCAGATCGTATACATTGAGTCATATGCACAGGAGGCAAAGTTATTTATCCCTATATTTATTTTTATTTAGTTTGGGCAACACTATATGGATTAGTGTTGCCCAAACTCAGTATTGTGTGCATGTAAATGCGAGATAGACGACTGAACTGCGATACCAAGACCAATACCAATGATGCAATCTCTTTCATCGTCGTCCTACCTTTTTATCACCATTTTCTCAGGCTCCTGGCCACCTACATTGAAATTTTGAATCGTTTTTTAATTCCTTTTCTTCGTCATTCTTACTTCTTACCACACTGGCGTTCTGGGCGAGAGTTTTGAGTAATGAAACGAAAGGCTCGGTCCACATCATTTATTGTAAAATAGGAATACGTAAAGACCAGGAAAAAGAAGAAAGGTAAAGGTAAAGCCTGTAACAAAACAAAATAACGATATAAACACAGGCACAATCATATAAAAACAGTCCCTACTCAAATAACATACACGTTAGACATGGTAAAAAGAAAGTTAGTTAGGAGAACTTGATTTGATGTCGAGCACGTGTGCTCGCTTCGAAAATTTTTTTTTAAGTACAGTTTTAACGGCTTTGGCATAATGCCATACAGCCTATTCTTCATTTTCTTTTCTTCATTTTGGTTTCACTTTGTAAATTATGTTTATGTAAATATGGCCGCCACAAAGAGGATAGGCAATTTGAGGCGGCGTGCTTGGATTGACTCGGGATTCCTTAAAACGGGCCGATACGGGTATTCTAGTTTGAGATTCGTATAATTTCGGGTTTTAATCTTCGATTAAGGCACAATAACACTATCCTATTCCACTTTAAACTAGATTTCACAAAATAATTGAAAGTCAAAATAAAAACGACACTTTTCCCTCCAAAAGGTCCAGAGCGAATCCTTCGAAAATTTTGTCAAGAGTGGTGACGGAATGGAGAAAGTAAGAATGACGAAGAAAAGCAATTATAGAACGATTCAAAATTTATTAATAGATGGCCAGGAACCAGAGAAAAGGGTAATAAAAAGGTGGAATGAGGATGAAAGAGGTTGCATCGTCCCAGGGTTTACTGACACAAGATCAACACCAAGTCTGAATCTACAATATCAAGATCACTGCTTTCCGCTGACTAAAACGCGATAGTCGAATACGTTAACTAATTTTAACTTTTTAAAAGAGAATTGTGTGCTCAATCTTTTGCTATTTAGAACGGATATATCACCATTTATCACTTAGGCGTATTTTAGTTAACGGACGGCAGATCAGGTGTACTGACGCAAGATCAAGAACAGACTGGGTTAGTCTCGTTTTGGTCATGCATTTGGGCAACACCATTTTGGACGGCCAAACTTATTCTTTGGCATAAGTACTTGCTAGCCTTCTGATCACTGGTAGTTGCAAGTTATTGCAAAGGTATTTTAAGGAGTTACCTTACTTATTAACGCTGAATCGGCATGAGACTGTCCCATATCTTTCTACATAAGTTTTGTTTATAGTGCCCGTCCCTGTCAACCTCTTGGTTATGCGGGAAGGTCACTACGACCTGTGCAAGCGAGCTCGCATAGTGACTGTCTAAGTCAGGTACTAACTCCGTATCAGCACGTTTACACGCACTTCATCCGGTGCTCTGTAAGGCTAGTGGCTCCCCGGGTGCACGTACAGCACCCTCACTATTTTCCAGGTAGGTACCGGAGCTGTAGGCACGCTCACTTCCCGTTGCCCTCCGCACGACTAAAGGTTGCCACCGCTGCGCCGCCGACTCTAAGCCGACTATCAAACCTCCTCATTGGTGGCGGAGCTGTCATGAGACAGTCAGAAAAATCTTTACAGTCATGCAATAAGAGCGATAATAAAAATGTAACAACTCTACGCATCGTGTGAAGTTACATTTACGCGCCGAACAGGCGGTAGTTGCTCTACTTCCGCTTTTATAGCACACTGAGAATGACAACGTCACTATTAAAAAAAACACTTTTTTTAATGTTTAACGCCATCTTGGGTTTGAGAGCACGAATTTTATAATGCAAAAACCCCCGTGTACGTTGTTTGTCTAGAATTTGCTACATGACGTAATGACGTTATGCTGTGTAAGGGGAGTGTGTATAGGAGACAGCGCGATACTGACTTTTTTTATAGTGACAGAGATCGCTGAGTTGTGAAACAATTTAAGAAAGAAAGAAAGAAAGAAAAATAGTTTATTTGGTAACCATAATACAAATAGAACGTAAAAACAAAAATTAAAATAACCTTATTGTAACATTTACTTAAAATAAAACAGTATTATATTTAAGATGGTACCAAAAAGGTCTCCACTCAGCTTATTTGTAACGAGACGTAGGGAAACATCTCGTTACGCTGATTTTCAGTGAAGCCAACAATTTACAGTTAAACAAAAATAAAGTGGTTTCGAGTAACTCCGTGAAGGATATCGTAATTTTTTGGTTAGTGTCGTTTTGCATTAAGACTAATATAGTACTGGATTGAGACAGATCTACGCTGGTTAGTTGATTTAAGAAAATTTAAATTTTAAACTGTTTATTTCGACAGATTACAGAAGTTATTTCACATACTAAAGATAAAATTTTTATATTCTAAAATTATGCACCTTGGTAAATTTCAACCACTGCGACATTTTAACATTATTACTTGCTCCAAAGTCTTATATTTACTTATACAGCTCTTAAATAATATTACTTCCTAGCCAAGTGTCGTCTAATCAATCTCGTACAGATCCTTTTATTTGTTTATTGTAAGATCTTTTTATAAGAAATGAAACTATTTTTCCGGATTTAAATCGCGTACATTTGTTTTATTAAACAAGCCGACGTTTCGGGCCCTTTACAGGTCCCAAAGGGCCCGAAACGTCGGCTTGTTTGCAAAAACAGCATTTAAACATCTTCGTTGAGTAAGAAACCGCAGTTATCACAATTTTCAGTACTTTAATTGCATCACAATATTGCTTTTTGTCACTGTCATTCTCAATGAAGTGTATTAGTGAGTGAAATGATATTTACGGCGGGAGTTGCTCTACTTCCTCTTATTATATTGTATCAATAGTTACAAAGATGTACAAGAAGTAAGAAGACGATAACATAAACTCCAAGTTTTCGTTTATAACAATAAAACGGTGTAGTGAACGGAGGTATTTTGAAAATTCCAAGTTATTCGTAATTTAAGCGCCACATAGAAATACAACTTTGTGTTTCAGAACATAAATTTTATTTCAGTGTGGACCGGTAGAAGTTGATAGTGCTTATTTCAATGGTTTTAAGTGGGAATATAGTACGATGTTGACAATGACAGGAAGCTGCATGTGATGTGAAAGTCTTAAATAAATATGTAATACAATATGAAACAAATTATGTATTGTAAAACTAAACTAGGTTTTGGTATGTTTCGAAAAATGTATGACGCTCGAAATTTACATTCACTTGCGGGTCAAAACGTTGTTTGAATTAGTTATTGTGTACTTTAGTTTTTAATCTATTTGTTATCTTCTTTTTGTGATTTCAAAGGTCTTGCGTTAGTTATTATATTCTAATATTAGGGGAACGTGGGATATTGGAAGCCCGTAGGTAATGAGAGCGGTGTAAAACTGGACTTTCCCAATGCTCGTATTTGTGCAAACGGCACTCCTATGTCTTCGTTAACGTTCGACAAGATTCGAGTCCCGTCGCTCCCGTAGAACCCCGTTTAGTCGTATGAGATGGTTGTGTGTTTTTCGGTCCGCGCTTATAAAGGTTGCCAAATTTCATCATCCCAGGTAAGCATTAAAATGCATAGATACTATAAATTGACAGAAATGAGAAAATCTAAATTAAAATTTGCATCTGACGATCATCATAATTCAAACTTTTATACAGACAATCTTTGCTTCAAATATCGAATACACTATAATAAAAATCTCGACTTTACCTCATCTCTATGACAAACGTCAAATGTACTGTCGCAAGGATCTTCTTAGAATGTCTTTAGTATACATTGTATTTACACTAGATATGTCACCATATCTATCAATTTTTAGAAGTTATGCTTGAAATCACAATAAAAATAGAAATGTTTTTACTGTTTTATTCCCTTTTCAATTATGATGTTACGCGAGTAATGAGAGCTATTTGGTTCTCCTTATCCCATTGCAATATTCATTGGATATTCATGTAACTCTTTCTTGTTTATTTTCATTACTTTTTAACTTATACATTTTGTTACTTTAATTTTTTTTCAGACTGATTACGTATAATGGCTCCCATTTGACATACGGGATTCTTAACGGCTCCCATTTCCCGAACTGTGGGGTAATGGGAGCGAATTACATGTTTTAGTTTTTTCTTTTTAACCAAATATTATTATTTCTGTTTCATATTTTTTCTGTGATTATCTAGTACCCAGATATGTGAAACGTACGTTCATAAGTAATAAAAATAAAAATTGCAGACTTATTATTAATTTTCCTTAGTAGGCTCCCATTCCCCCACGCTTCCCCATTTGTGAATAGCCGAATAAATGTTATTTCTTTCTTTCTTACAATGCTCCAAAATGCATTCTTGTAACCCTTTTATAAGGTTACACAGGTGTGTATCATAAAAATAATAAATAGATTTCAATTTGAGAAATCTTTATGTATCATCGTACAACTCTCATACAGAAGAAGTAAAATTGATGGTGGTACAAAGGGTGAGGGGAAGCAATAACAAGATCCTAAAGCTAATTGCAAACAGGATGGATGCAGCAGTTTTCCAGAGGTTCACCGAATTGCATATACTGCGTGCGAATCGGTGAGCCGCTTGGACAGCCGACAGTCTCATTTTATTTTTAATTTTATTAATTTTAGTTATGTAATTACTAACCCTAATAACTAACATAGTTATAAGTTGTTATGTTACTAACCTACTAATTTATATGGATTACTGTGGTCCGAAATAAAAGATTTTTATTTTATTTTATAATTGTTATTTACTAATGGTATACATCATTATACGTTGACTTTGAACTGTGTTTTTAACGTAGTTAACTAGAGTAACAGTTATAACAGCGGAATCAGAATGAGCTGGTTAAAAAAATATGTCTATGCATAGAGCGAAAGAGACGTTGCGCATATGGCTTGCGTTAAACATCGTTTTTGCTCTTTTTACATGAATATTTATCTTTTTCTGACCAGCTTAGTCCGATTCGACACACTGTGGTTGGTCTTTTATTCGTGCTGCGCTGTTGCGTTTTATCTGAGTTACTAAGATATGCTAATAGAATCCGCGTAATGGCCAATATTTCAGAATACGTAGTTTAAATTACTTTCGTAGTTAATTACAGTTGAACACGAAATAGTTTAAAATGTTGCTCTGCGCTCGTTTTACAAATCCGAGAAATTGCTCTTTCTTTTGACTCGACTATAAATACGTCGTAAACAGTTTATGTTTGTAATAATGCATCTTAAAAGAGTGTACCTAAGATTTTTAATACTTACATAAGGCGGGTCACAGTAGATAGCCTTGCACCACATGGGTTCCGAGTGGTAGCACACGCAGAGTGAGCAAACCCCTGGGCCCGGCACGTACAGGAGCCCGTGTGGGACCGACTTGCCTTCCCAGTCTATGCATTCTTCTTCTACGCACGCTGCCGACAAGGTTATTTGTTAGAATGACTGGTGGAATCTAACTAGTAAATGAAAATCAGAGCTGGGAAAGCACTGCGTTTTTCAAACACTGCGGAGTTATTGTCCCTTTTTTTTTTTGCTGCAGTTATACAAAGTGTATGTATCTAGTGTTCTGTTTTTGTAAATAAATAAGTTGTGTTTTATTTATTATGTCTTTAATTTTCCTTTATAGATAGAAACTTTTTATGAAAGCACCCATTCTTATTATATAAGTATACCTATACCTTTCCAGATTAGATTGTAGAGGGTTTACTTTAGTAAACTAGTTTTATCAAGATAATCGAACCTAACAATTGGGTATGAATTAAGGCTTCGGCTATAACAACTCAGTAAAGAATCAACTAATACGTACAGTTGTAATATGTAATTTTGTCCAGACACGATTCTCGAAATCTTAAACCGTTTACATAATGTAGGGGCTAGTGTCCTTGTTTCTACTCCGTACAAACATCTTGTCGATAAATTTTTATTGAAATGATATTCGATTGTTTTTATGTGAAATTACTCCTCTATAATAATAATAATAGAGGACACACTCAAAATAGCCTCGCAGTAGGGAAACCCTGTGTGGCGGATGCCATGGACACACACATAGACACAAGTTACACCCAAACTCACGAGAGAAATAAATGTAGGCCCTACGAATATTTCTCCCGATCGGGGAATCGAACCTGGGACCTCTGCGTGGCAGCATGGTAACCGTTGGGCCAAGGAGGCAATTATAACACTAGTTTGTTATAATTATTAATACAAATATCGAACACTCAGAAAAAATACCTTCTATCCGGCCGGATTCGAACCGACGTCTTCTAGCCTACCGTGACAGACGCTATACCAACTGAGCCACGGAACGAACCGGCGGACGTCACGAATTTTTCTATGTGCTTGCGTCGTATTTGGCTTTTCAACGACTTTTTAGCCGTAGCGCCATCTATGAGAAATCTATGATATTTCGTCACCCAGTTAGATACCTTTACACCTACCAGCCCTGGCTAGAGATGTCGCTATTCATTGTATTTACATTGTTATTGAATTGATATTCAATTGTTTTTATGTCAAATTACTCCACTAGAACACTCAGAAAAAGGATCGAAGGATTTTTTTCTGAGTGTTCGATCTTTGTATTAATAATTATAACAATCTTGTCGATAGCTTATTATTTAGTAGCAGTAGATCTCCTTGTGAAAGAGTTCGTCCAGGGAAAAACTGCCACCTTATCTATTTCTGACGCCAAACAGTATGTTTCGGTTTTCAAGGGTTAGGGAGTGCCCTAACCACCATCACCACCACCACCAGTAGGTGAAATTACAGACATATGGTACTTGTCACGGTGACGCAGTGACAGTGCCGTTCTGAACTTTGCGATTTAAAGCTCTGAGTAGCACTGCAACTATTAAGAGTAGACGTGTCGCTTACCACCAGGTGCAAAACTTGTTCATCCCGACGCATATTTTTTTCTTAGATCTGAGGGGAACTGCTCTGCGCTCGTCACCCTGAGACACAAGTTGGCAAGTCCCATGTGCCAGTAATTTCACCAGCACCCTTATCCTTCAAAACCGGAACGCAGTAATGCTGATATTGCTACTTGGCGGCAGAAATAGTTAATGTAACAAGCGGTTACATAAAAAAATTTAAAGTATTTTGGTAAATGTTTGGTGCGCTTTCTCGCACAGTAAACTTTCCAATAACTAACTATTCACAAACAACTAATCAAGTATATTCGACTGCAAACTCAGCGGCAGTGTAACAAGATTTCATTCCATTCGCTTCACTTCTAACAGACGAAGTCTCGGGCTCTATTTCCGGAACTACTGTCCCGGAAACAGCCACGTCTTTTCATTCGACGTTACATCTTTTTTTGTTATTTTTGATTTATGGCACGATTGCGAAAGGCGGGACATTGTTTCATAAATGGTTTTACTTAGAATAAAACTTATTGAAAATAAAACTAATTTTCCGGATTAAAATCGCGTATATTTGTTTTTTCAAACAAACCGACGTTTCGGGCCCTTTACAGGTCCCATGGTCACGGTTGACTGAGGTGGTACAGTCTTCAACCAGTTATGTCTAATATTGATGCAAACCACCCTATTTTTTCACTATAGTTACAATAGTTATTAATTAAATACCTTATTTATAATTTTACAAAGAAAACATTCAAATTTACGCTACATTAAGTTTTACAAATTATTTTATTGAATCAATTTTTATTAAGTTCATCAGTAATAATTAATAATGAATTAAAACGTCGGTTTGTTTGAAAAAACAAATATACGCTATTTAAATCCGGAAAAATAGTTTCATTTTCTATGTGTAACAATCGCGAAAACCTAAGAACTAGATATAAAACTTATTTTTGTAAAATGGTAGCGGCCGTGAGATAAACAAACTAGTGGAATAGATATATACGTAGTTATGTTCTATACGACAAAATTTTTACCTTAAAGGCCCATTTACACGGAGAAAGTGTCTTGTCTTGAAGATAAGATTATCAAAAGAATAAAAAATTTCATGGGCACAAAATAACAAACCTACTGGAAATAAGTTCTTTTTGTTATTCAATTTCAATTTCAATTTCAAAACCAAAATCTGCCTCTGTGGCGATAGAGATATTTGTATGGCCCACATTTATTTATCTCGTGAGTTTGGGTGTAGGTTGTCTTTGTGTGTGTCCGTGGCACCCGCAACACAGGGTTTTCCTAGTTCGTGGCTATGTGTGTGTGTTATTATTAATTTAAATTTGTTACTCCTTATAAGGCATACAAAGATCTTATGCAACATATAGGTCATTATTATATGATACTCCGTAAGGGTGTTGCTAACAAGGGCAGAGGGCACTTAGTCTTTAAATAAATATAAATCTCCAACACAATTATACAATCTTAAAAACTTAAACATGCCAGCTATTAACTAATAACATTTATTACTATTTACTTCATTTTTGTAGAGATCTATATATTATATAGCAATGTGATTATATAGTAATTATATTTAACACATGTCGTATAATATTTATCTTTGAAAAATTCATTTGGATTATTGTAGTATTTTTGTTTGGTTTTGAAAGGTTATTTTATCTGTACGTTTAATTTATAGTTACTGAAAGTTATCTGAAAAAAAATCTAGACATTTGACGTGTGTGAATTTATTTGTTAGTATTGGTTTTAAATGTTTTATAAACGTTACGTATTTTTCAAAGCTTTTGATTCTATGGGCTGTTTCTGATTAATTTCAATTTAGAAAAAGGTACTTTTAATTTATATTATTTCATTACTTTTTATTTCATTTATTTGTCAAGCTTCGGTTCATTATTTGTATCCAATTAGTTTAAGCTTACAAAGTTTACGATTACTTAGTATTTAAGAAATGATTTCGAGCGTGTATAACGTCTGTTGTCTTCCTGTGCACCTAGTCCACACTGAAAGATATACCTTTCTCTTCAACTACTCCGTCTACGTACTTCAGGAATGTAAATGTGTTTACATTCGTGAAGATTAAAAATATATATATAAGTGCGCATTGGACTTCTATTGCACTTGAGGGAACGTGACAATGAGGTCTGCGATGAAGCATGCACACCTAAATAATGCCGATTCACTAAACGAAAATAACTTTCAAGGCAGGTTCTTAATTAGGAACACACTTTGATAAAGTTAATGGGGCCGCAATAATCATGTTTTAGTGGTAGTAGAGCATCTTGCGAAGTATCGTCCTAGGAAGTACTGCCATCTTACCTATTTCTGACGCCAAGCAGTAATGAGAGCATTAACTACGTTCCTGTTTTGAAGGATCCCAGAGAAATTACAGAATCATGGGACTTGTCAACTTTATGGCTGTGCCTCGCAGGTTTTTGTGATTTCAAGCTCTGAGTGCCACCGCCAATGTCGTGGACAGAGTTTCGCGTAACTCCCTTGGTATCATAAAAAAAATACTATAGAAATCATTGACTTACAAATAAATGGACGACGGGTCTAATGCAAAAACCACGAAAAAAAATGTCCCAAGTCAACCTATTTAAACGTAGTGATATGTAAAGGAATATGGAAATGCTAAAACGTTGAATTTAAATTGTAATGTCATCGCAGTGCTGTCTAATTTTGCTTGCTTCGCTGTCAGTCAAACAAACGAAGACTAAAGCGTGAATGACGCTCTGTATATGATTTTAACGCTCTGTAAGTTCGGACACTTTTTAGCGTGGACCCGACGTCCATATAATTGTAAGTCAATGATAGAAATACAAAAATTTACCTTCGACCTAGTAGTTACAATCTTACATAAAATACCAAGTTTCCATAGTGAGAGCTGGATTCCGTAGGTACTAGGTTGTAGACTTGTATTACTAATAACCATGCTCAAAAAATTCCTCTGGTTGTTTATTCCATGTTAGTGGTAGAGCTAAATCTAACTGATCAAAGACGTAGGCTGGTGGAAGATTTCACATTATACGAACATTTTTTGCCTAATAAGCTTTATTCAAGATTATCATTTTGTCACAAATTTGAAACCCATCGGTCCGACAAGAAGACGGCCTTGCTACATCGCATTATGCTAATTCTAGACAATCAATAAATAAATCTCTTTTTTATAACCCTCCACTTTTTGCTAATGGTTTCGCGTAGTTTTTTTTTTCTTTTGATGCTTGTCTCGTAACAAAATTTGTTGGCGATTATTCGGGAGACCATTCGGTTGTCATTTGTTTTTGTGTGCCCACGCGCGCGTTTCTCTATGAACATAAATTAAAAACTATTTCAACATTTTTGTGATATTATTTGTTACAACCGGTGTATTTTATTATTATTTGCTTCTGACACAGATATGACGGTAATTGTCAAGTGTCCAGAGTCTAAATTATGTGTTATCGTCTAATGATATTTTTTTATGTTACCAACTGAAGGAACGAACAAGTCGTGCGCCATGTGGTGGTAAGCGACATGCCTTTCCATAGTAGTCGCAGTGCCAC